ACACACACACACATACAATGTTTGTTGAATCTGTTCGAAATTGTGTGCAATTGTTAGTTCGTTAGAAAAATGATGTGATTGATAATGAATGATGTGGGAACAAGTTGTTTTTTTATTTAGATATGAGAACACTTGGAAATATAAACACAAAATGTCAATGAACAAAAGTTATGATGTGTTGATCATGTGTAGATGAATATAAATATATGTAGATATCTTGTACTGTATATGTAGTTATTCCATTCGGATAGTGATAATCACAATCTCATCATCAAGAGGAATCATCATCACATTTTATAGACTACATTCTATTGAAAGTAATGTGAATAATCTGTATGTGTATATAAATATATAATCGTTTTATACAGTGTTCACATTCACATCAGTGATTAATACATCATCGCCTGAATCTGCCGTAGTCATCTCTGATTTCACTGCTGTATCCGTGGCCACTGGAGGTAATTCAAGTACATTTATTTTTGATTCCATAGATGAATGTGTAGATGATTGTTGTTGAATTAAATCAGACGTGAATGGTGTTGTTGTTGTTGTTGTCGAAGAGGATGAACCGAAATCAGCATTGTTTAAATTATGACAAATATTTAAAGATTCAATAGCCGGTGGACTTGAACTTGATCGACCACATGATTGTTTCGATCAACTAAATCTGACTGTAACATTTCATCATCTTCATCTAAAAAAAATAAAAGAAACATGAAAAATACTATGTAAAATAAAGACTAATGTATTTTTATATAAATAAGACACATTTGGCAATGATGTGATAGTTATTTGTTGTTAGCATTATTCAATCAGTCAGCTGCAATGTAGAACTCCGTATGTATGTACATTCTTAGTTCAAATTGGTATATCATATTAGCGTAGAGCCATGAAATTGTCCAAATGAATCCAAGTATCAGTGAAAATATTGAAAAAATAAGGATTGAAAAAATATATACAAATCAGCGAAATCAACTTTCTTTTAAAAGTGATGCCGAATTCAGAAGTCGAGGATTTAAAGGAACATAACGAACGAATACGCCTGTGCTATCCCAAACGATTTTGAACCATGTCATTCAGAACCTTTAGCCAGTAGTTATGACATAGATTGGACTGAAGCATGATCGCGTTGTTGCATGCTGATTGGCTCTTTCGTATCCAATCAGCGCCGGTCGATACTGGGCGAACATTCTAGAATCTTCTCATGTAAGAAAACTATAAATATACTAACGTCTTTTTGCTTTGGACCTTCTGTCTACCATTCTAACCTTGTTATTGGAATATAATCTATTTCCTGTTCAACTGTGTTCTGATTTTTGGGAGAACGTCTCGAGTGAATTGGTGTCTGAGAATACTAAACATTAGGAATAACTAGATTGTAATAAAGAGAGAATTATAACACATAGCTTGTTCCAATTTTCAATGACTTTATAGACTTGTGCCATGTTTTGCTTTGGCCACGCTCTTAGCTTTCTTCCGACCTACCCCCATACATCAGACAAGACTGTTCATCGAGGTAAGCGGCGGTTTGAGAAGAAAACTCAGACAAATTGTGACAAGATAATAATCAATCAGGTCATGTTTAGTTCTAATAGCGCATATTCAGCCGAAAATGCGCCCCAAACAAATTTAGAGATAACGCTGTGAAGAAAAAAAGAATGGAAGCACTGTAAGATTAAAAAAATGATAATTGATAATAGAATGCTATATTCAGTCCAAAATATGGCAAAGAGAAACTTTTTTTAAATTACTGTAGCTTATGTTACATATTATGAAAAATGCAATGGTAAACAAGATGAAAACCACTAACTTTCATTAAGACAAAGTCTCAAAGGCATATCTCAAATCACTAGAGTCACATTTACACCGGATGTTGTCACGGGCCAACAGATATTAGTCTTATGCAGCTAGTTTTCACACTACAATACCAGATTGTAAACTGACCACCTCTTAACTCCGCCTGTAGACCCTTTGGGGTTACTGCCGATCCCAAACCCGGATAAAAGAGGACAGTTGGGCATGGGGTTGACGACCCCATCTGGATAAAAACGCTAACAACGAAAAATAATTCAAACCACTTAAACTCTGCTGTGGGAGTTAGAAGGTATTCATTTAGAGGAGTCATGACGTCTCATGATGAAAGCCGAGTTCCTTCAGAAGTCACGAGGACGGTGCCGCTTCTGACAACCAGAAGGCTTCCACGGTGTGGGCAGTCGGTAAATAGCATCCGCCCTCATGCCCATAAAAGCACACGAGACCAATGTGGTATGGCAATTTGAACTGATGTACGTACGTACGAAGTTCTATGTTGTTGTTGACTGACTGACAGACCAACTCTTGGTTTTTCCACATAACCCCAGACTCGGTAAATAATGCACAGCGGTGTGGAAGCAAATGGAATGACCTTCATCATAATGAAGGTGCAAAAGTGACTCAGATTGATAATAAACGATTCTAGCTCTCATTACATGTAGATTGATCCTATTTTTCAAGCCACCATCACCACAACTGGCATAACTATTAGAAACACAATGGTTCAGCGTAAAAAAGGTGAGGATAAAGTAGCATGTAAAAAAAGAACGCCTAAACATACCAACTAGTAATGAAGAATGAATCTCAGGACGTCTTGTTGTTGTTAGGAAAGAATTGTGTATAACATTATCACTACAAACATGATGATGTTGAATGGTATCAGTTTGTAGTAAAGGAGTATGCTCTTCATCAATTTGATAATGTTCATTAGATTGACCGGAGTCTACTGAAGGACGTCGAGTACTGACTGATTCATGATTATTACGTCTAAAAAAATTTAGTAGTCTACTTGGTATTTGTCGCAAGAAATGATTGTTACCACTTTCGATAATTTCAGTCTCATCGGATACTGAAGGTGCGCCTGGCAATTCAACTAGCTGATTACATATAGGACAACATCGACGATTACATAATAGCCAGGGATCGATACATTTCATATGAAAAGCTGTAAAGATATGAACAAATACGAATAGAATATAATTATAATGAGCCAGAGCATGTCGGATTTATTGTGTCTATGTAAAAGGCAACACAAATGCACTCTTATATCCTGTCTGTAGTCCCGTGTTAAAAAGTAGATTTTTTAAAAAAAACACTACACAACTTCGTACTAACGAATGGAATGTTCTGTCTTTTTTTTACTTGAACTGCTTTCATTAATTAGTGTGTACTTTTCGAATTCACTCTTGCCGATGACCTTAAAGTTGAAGGTCTACCTAGTTATCAATCCTTCGCATTGATTTTATACAAATCGAAGAAACGCTTCATACAACTCAAAACAATTTTTATTTTAAAATAGATATATACATCGATACACCGATAGGATGGTAATCTCATGGACCGAGGATCATTAAGGCATCCTTTAAAACAAAGAAAGAGGGCATTACAATGAACGTCATTCAATGTTATGCACCTACCAATGACTACAATGAAGACGGTAAAGATCAATTCTTCGAGAGACTACAGTCAATCGTCGACAGATGCTTATCAAAGGATTTGATCATTCCGATGAGAGACCTAAATGCTAAGGTTGGAATGGGCAACACTGTAAAATGAAGACATCATGGAGGAAATCAAGAAGCGGTGGAAGTGGATAGGAAACACAGTGCGGAAAGTACCTGACTGCATCACAAGACAAGCTCTCACATGGAACCCTCAAGGCCAAAGGAAAAGAAGAAGGGCAAGAAACACATTACGCCGAGAAACAGAGAAAGATATGAGAAGAATGAACAAAAATTGGACAGAATCGGAAAGGGAAGCCCAGGAGAGAGTAGATTGGAGAACGCTGGGCGGCAGCCTATGCTCCGTTGGGGGTGACAGACATAAGTAAGAAACTTTAATTAGCAAATTGAATAAACTGAGCACACAGATCATAATCATTTCTTCTGATCCGAATAATGACCCATAAGGTATAACATTGATTCAATATATATATAATCGGCCTCATACAAACAAACAACGTGGTTTAGTCTCGAAATGAAACATGAGCATAGGTGCGTGATCAGTCTAGATTTTTTCAGATTATCACCTACTTTTAGATCACACTATTCATTCATTATTTCATTTGCGTCCGTAAAAAGATTAAATGGTTTTGCGCAATAAAATGAATACTATTATAGATACGCTAACAATAATGAACATCATACTCCACATTATCATCTAATGTATCAAGTCAAATGACATTGAATTGTATGGATTTGTAATGAACCATTGAATTACTTAACTAATCTGAAGTTACTGTCCAACAGTACAATAACTGGACTGCTACAATTAAAGTTAGAATTAAACAAAAAGAGTTAAGGTATCATCATCATCTGTAAGTTAGAAAAAAAATCATACTTTTTCTCGTCTTCTTCCATTTTCTTGAGTTATGATCAACAGTGATATAATTGACATGGAACATCATTCTAGGGAAATTTTTATTACAAAACTAATGCTACTATTGCGTACTAACTATATATATATATATATATATATATATATATATATATATATATATATATATATATATATATATATATATATCCTAAATAAGAAATTGATCATTTGATCAACAGATTGGATTTGATCATCATCGATTAAGTAAAAAAACCAATGCTCTATTTAAATGAATTCAGAATGTGATGAATTTCTTTTCTTTGACTGATAATCAAAGCAAACACACGTTGTAAGCACACCTCAAAGGACATAATATATAAAACATAGGAAAAGGCTTGAATGTGTTATGTTTTCTTTTGAGATGGAAAAAAAATAATAACTGAGTGATTTTACAGTGCAAAATATGATTTTTTAAAAAAAAACGATAAAACAAATCAGACAACCAACTCTAAATTATTTCTATTCAACCAATCGATAATTTATGTCTTGCATATATTTAACGAAAAAAAGGCATTACCATGTGTTTTTATTTTTTTTCATTTACGCATACTTGAATAATAATTAATGTAGTACACAGTTATACATCAATCTATCTATCTATCTATCCGTCTATCTATCTACAATAAATCATATGATTAGAACGAGGGAGAGTCGCACCAAAATACACAATTCAATATATTATATATACATATATATATATATATATATATATGCGAATATAATATAAAAGAGAACTTAGAATGGAGTCGATAATCTGTTAATGATATGTATATACATATATATATGTATATAAATATTCACTTCTGTTTATATGTTATTATGTATTCAAGCTAAACTAAGTGAGATGATGACATAGACACGCAAGTATAGAATACATGATAGAATAATTAATAAAATCAATGATTAAAACAATCTAAATATTTCTCATGTATACATTTATCAATCAGCAGAACTGAAAGCATGGTTGAAACATTCACACAGAAGCCTACGTTTTTAAAACAAGTCTAACAGTACAGGTCTATACGCATTCAACAGGTAACCTGACTAAGGCAATCAATCAGTCAGTCAGTCAGTTCAGGTTGCCATACCGTAATCAGTACAGAGATGCAACTGTCAGTTCAAACCCGGATAGTGGTAGAGATAGTAGTTGTGGAGAAAAAGGTGATCATACAAATTTTGTTAACAATATTAAAAATCTTACCAGAAACAATCAATACAATTACTTCCTCACAAATCGGATTTTCTGCAAGCTTATTTTTCCTGACTGGATGTCGCTGATTCATAGTACGCTTAAAAGTTATATTTTTGTTACTATATCCAGAGAGTTATGCCAACAACCCGTTCTGTACTGGTTTGTCTGATCTAAAATATCAAGGTTTTATACAGTTCATCTCTCTCCATGTTGACCGTCAAATATTGATGTTTTGTGTTCTAGTTATCGTCATCCATTACAAACAGAGTAGACTAACTCAATTATCTATTTATTTCGCGAATATTGTAGGTTTGCAGTGAACTCCAAATAACGAGGAATAACAGAGATACAAACACCTTGTTATGAGAAAAATCGATACTACCTGATATCCCGAACCAGGAATCAGTAATGTGGTTTGCAATTCCAACCTACTTGTTGAAAGCTATGTTATAACACCAGTAAGTCAACACCAGTACTCAATTACATGCTCTGTCATGTGTTTATACTGTATAGATATATATATATATACAACGATAAAGTTTATATATAAGTTTTATCGCTTATGCAACCTCCTGAGAATATTACACTCTTGATTACAGAATTATAGAGATTGTTAAGTTTCACTGAAGTTATGAATCGATAATCGTTACATCATTAAAAAAAGCATTGGATGGCTGTTTCATCCTAGTACGGGACTCATCAGTAGTGCGCATCCACACACCCCGCTGCGAGAATCGAACCCAGAACCTTCGGTCACTAGCGCGGACGCATCCAACCAGTGAGGTTGGTCAACACCTTGGATTTATCAAAGTTAGACATTAACACTGTTAAATGCCGGCCGACTCAGTGGTCTAGAAGTACTGGGTTCGATTCTCGCAAGGAAGAGGGCATGGATGTGCACTACTGATGAGTCCCATACTAGGAAGAAACGGTCGTCCAGTGCTTTCAAATTTTTAATGATGCTCTAACAATGATCAATTCATTATTTCAATATTGAAGCTGTTTGTACAATAACTCTAAGAGGTAAATCATGGCATTAATCTAAAGGGAGAATTGAATGTACAGGTTCAGATGAACAGCATTATTGATATTGGCGATAAAAAGAAATATCAATATGAAACTGCATAATATATTCATCACATCTGAAATAGTTCTAGATGGAATACAATTTATTTTGAACCAATTAAAAACTTTCAAATTAACATGCGTTTACACCATTAGTTACTCTTTCTCTATAGCGATAACCCATTCAAAACTAAAACTTTCTGTAAACAGCTTAAAACCAAAGAACATGATCGTATGTAAACAGGATCAACATCTATCTCTCACATTGGAATGATTTATCTGAATTTTATTTACAGAAATTGGATTTCCTGAATTCATTTACACCTTGAAAACTAGTAATTAGTTTTGTTTTTAATAAATAGTAGATATTAACACAAACAGTTGTTGGTAATACTGTAAATAATTATTATTTAAGAAGCATATTGAATTCGAAAATCAACTACTATCAAATCACAAAAAAACTAAGGAGAGATAATAATTTATGGATAATCTTTGATTCATACTAAGGCATCCTTGAAAAAAACTTTAACCACTCACAAAAATTGAAATATGGTTTATAAATATTAGTGTGAAAAATTCGAGATTATAAGTTGAAGTGATATGTTAAGGATTAGGGAACCAATGTCAACTACTATCATGTTAAAAAGTAATTTAGAGAATATAGATGACGGACGGATGCCATATTACAATCCACAATTTCGCGGATATTATTCAAGAAGTATAATTCAGTGAGGTAAATTTAGAAAGAGATAGAGCTGATGAGGAATTCAGAAGATTAGAATTTGAAAGAACACAAGGAGTTGATGCACCTGAGCCAGTACAAACGGTTTTGAGCCTTTAGCGGCTCACTACTGGACTTCAGTGTGGACGAATAATCGAGTATGCAATGAAATAAATCCTCCTTTCCACTTCCGTATATTATACTTAGTCTACACCCGTTTGTGCGGCGATGGTAGTAAGAAGCCAAATACGATGTTGCGGATGAATTTATTTCATGCATTCATTTATGCAGACAAACATGAGAAGGGAAGCGTACAAGAGAAACGAAGCGAATTGGAGAAGGTGAGTGAGCCAACTAACTGTCCATGAGCTGAAGAATGGCTAAGTATTTATAGTCAAGCAATAATAGGCCAGACATGTAATAAGCGATAAAGCATCCACACATAATCAAATATACTATAGTCGATACTATAATCGTATTATTACAAATACAAAATTATGGCCGATACAATTATCGAATAATTCAAACGAAAGTACAATGAATGAATGGCGAGATGCTACAAGCCATGTCGCTCAAGGTCTCTAATCATCGACTACTATCATCTCGCGAGCCTTTTGACAACAAGAACCATTCCACGGCGATGGGCGGCCGGGAGGTAACATCCGCCCTCATACTCAAACCCATTCACAATGCAATCAATACATTTCAACACTAATTATTATATAGTTCAGGGAAAGATGAATCGAGATTTAAACCAATCAAAGTAAATTTAAAAAAAAGGTAACTCAAGATCACAAACAAACTGTTGTATAGTAGTGTAGTTATAAACATCAACACATGCTCACCATGTTGACAAGGCAATAGGCGTAATTTATCACGATCCACATAGTCCTCTAAGCAGATACAACATACATCATATGGATCTGAACCTAGTTGATTCAAGAATAAATTACAATGAAAAAAGTTAAAAACAAGGACAATAATATATATATATATTTAAAATTCAGTAATTAATAAATTAAGCACGATAGATATTTTTAATTCCAATTCAAGAACAAAGTACAAAAAAGAATGATTTATTGATTTTTTAATATTGCCGATTATTATTAATCAAAGCGAAACAAGTCCATTAAATTCTTCACTTCACTATCTGAAATAGGATGTGTGTGTAAGATGGAACATGATTAAGATAATAAGAATAAGTACTTGTTGAAAGTAAAATCTTTATTGGATGTGTTCAAGAACTACAGCCTTGATTAGTCGTAGGTGTCGAAAGAAAGAGTAAGTCGAATAAATTTCATCTCGTTAAAATGTTTACTTACCCTTTACATAATTAGCTTCAATGATATATGTGGTGATTGGCACTACGTACGATTTTGTCCATTTAAAAAACATAAATGTCAGATGTGTCATAAACGTGGACATAAAGAAGGCCATTGCCAACCAGATCGTACGTCTCAGCCCAAGAAGAAGCGCAAACGTACTCGACATGTGGTGAAATCAGCCGAGTCTAAATCACTTTCTCTCGTAGCTGCTTTTCAAACAGACTATGACATTCGGAGAAAGTATGTTACTATCCAAATGAACGGTGCATCAGCTCGTTTCCAAATCGACACGGCATCAGATATCACCTTAATGTCTAGAGAAACGTACAACATGCTGGGAAAACCGCCAATGAAGCCATCTAAGAAAACAGCTAAAAGCGCTTCAGGTGGTGTGTTAAAACTGGTTGGTGAGATACACTGTGAATTTTCCTTCAACGGAACAAAATGTACAGGTATATGCTATCTGACAGAACGGCCAAACCTTGATCTTCTTGGTCTAGATATGCTAGAAAAGCTGGGAATAATGGATGTACCCATTAATAGTGTCTGCAACATATCGTGTTCATCATTGGATACCCCGATACTTAAAAAGAAGACAGGTGAAAGATTACGTGAAAAACTGAAGGAAAAGTTTGCCTCTGTTTTTCAGAATAACCTTGGCCTCTGTACCAAGATGAAAGCTCACTTACCATTGAAATCAGATGCGAAACCTATTTTTCGTCCTAGACGTCCTGTACCATATGCCACTCTTGAGCTAGTCGATCAGGAACTTAATCGCTTACAACAGGCTGGGGTAATCCAACCAGTCAACTACTCTTCATGGGCCGCACCGATCGTAGTGATTAAGAAAGCTAATGGAACTATACGCATTTGTGCCGATTTCTCAACTGGTTTAAATGCTGCATTGGATGTGTATCAGTATCCGTTACCAGTTCCTGAAGATCTGTTTGCCAAGCTTAATGGTGGTACATGTTTCGCGAAAATAGACTTTTCCGATGCCTATCTACAAGTAGAAGTAGATGAAGATAGTAGAGAGCTCCTGACTATTAACACCCATCGAGGGCTATTTCAATACACTCGTCTACCATTTGGCATCAAGACCGCACCGGCTATCTTTCAGCAAATAATGGATACGATGCTAACAGGTATACCTGGGACAGCAGCTTATCTAGATGATATCATAGTTATGGGTTCAAGTGACAGTGAACTGTCAGATCGACTACATCAAGTCCTTAACCGAGTGTTGGAGTATGGTTTCCAACTACGTGAAGAAAAGTGTATCTTCTTCATGCATTCGATCAAATACCTTGGTTTCATCTTAGATAAGGACGGTCGCCGACCAGACCCAGCCAACATCGAAGCCATTCAGAAGATGCCTGCACCAACTGATGTCTCTTCATTAAGATCTTTCTTGGGGTTAATCAGTCATTACAGCGCATTCCTGCCTGAAATGCATCGAGTGAGAGGTCCTTTGAATGAATTACTGTCAAAAGATAAACCTTGGCAGTGGTCAGCAGAATGTCAAGCATCTTTCGATAAAGTCAAGTCGATGCTCAGCTCAAAGCTTCTTTTGACACACTTCGACCCCAGCTTGGGAATTGTTGTTGCATCTGACGCCTCTAGTTATGGAGTTGGAGCAGTAATATCTCATGTGTTTCCGGATAAATCAGAGAAAACAATTGCCCATGCTGCCAGATCTCTCACCCCAGCCGAGCGAAATTACAGTCAAATTGAGAAAGAAGCTCTTGCAATTATTTTCGCTGTCAAAAGATTTCATAAAATGCTCTATGGTCGTAAGTTTACGCTACTGACAGATCACAAACCTTTGATTGCAATCTTTGGTTCTAAGAAAGGAATCCCTGTCTATACGGCTAATAGATTACAGCGCTGGGCAACGATGCTCCTGAGTTATGATTTCAATATCAAGTATCAGTCGACAAATACTATCGGTCAAGCGGACGCTCTCTCTCGATTAATTGGAGTTCAGCATCCTGAACCAGAGGACATAATCATTGCCTCAACAGCAGTAGACCCAGAAATAAGGAGTGTAGTAGCAGACGCCATTCGAAACACTCCAGTGTCGTCAGAGGAAGTCAGAGAAGAAACTCTTCGAGACCCACTTCTACAAGAAGTTAGAAAGTTTCACCTGGAAGGTTGGCCTTCGAAGATCAACTCTTCAGAGCTTCAACAGTTTTACCAGCGTAGACTCTCTCTTTCAATCATCGACGACTGCCTGCTGTTTGCCGAACGAGTCATAATTCTAGCGAAGCTACCACCAGCAGTGCTAAAACAGTTGCACGTGGGACATCCTGGAATAAATCGCATGAAAGCACTAGCACGAAGTTATGTATACTGGCCGCACTTAGACACCCAGCTAGAGCAGCTATCCCGTTCGTGTACCAAATGTGCATTAGCAGCAAAAGCACCGCGCAAAGCAGAGTTGCAATCATGGCCAATACCACAGTCACCGTGGCAGCGTATACATTTGGACTTTGCTGGCCCACTTCATGGACAAACTTACCTTCTGGTAGTTGATGCATACAGTAAGTGGCCAGAAATTTTCTTCATGAAACACCCAACTGCAAGCTGTACAGTCAGTAAATTACGTAAACTATTCAGTCGTTTCGGAGTCCCGGAATTGATAGTTACTGACAACGGGACACAGTTTACGTCCGCAGTCTTCTCGCAATTTTGCCGGCAGAACGGAATCTATCACGTCCGAACACCTCCATTCCATCCGCAATCAAATGGTCAAGTAGAACGCTTTGTGAGCACATTTAAAAATGCTCTAAAAAAATCCAAAGGGGAGGGGACCACCGAAGAGATCTTAGAGAGGTTCATGCTTATTTATCGCTCTACACCGAACCCTCAGACGATTGACGGAGTCTCACCTGCGGAAGCTCTACTTGGTAGAAAATTACGAACACATTTTGATGTCATCCGTCCTACACCAGCTCTTGAGCCTCAGCGAAACCTGTCGATGGAGAAGCAGTTCAATCGACACCATGGGGCAAAAAGACGATCGTTCACAGTGGGCCAGAAAGTACTTGCTATGGACTATCGTGGAAAACATCCTGCATGGACAGCTGGTCGGATTTTAAAAAAGAAAGGGAATGTGACTTATGAGGTGTCAGTTGGCTCAGAAGTTTGGGTACGTCATGCTAACCAACTGAAAGCAACTTCGATAGTCAGCAACGGGACTCGGCATCGAATACCCCTCGACGTTCTGCTAGACACCTTCGAAATCAAAACGCCTGGAACACATAAGTCAGTTTCTGTGCAAGCAAAGAGTGACACAACTTCGTTATTGCCGAGAAGATGGAGTAATCGAAAGTACAAGCCAGTCACTCGGTTGCAGTTGGACCCTAGCACCAGATCCTACGAATCTTCTCAAAGGGGAGGTGTTAGTGGGACATAGATGGATTTAAAGCACGATTACGTCACTACGTGCTGATTGGCTAATTTCCTATTCAATCAGCGTCTGATCGAAGCTTGGAGAACAGGATAGAAAATTCTCGTCTTATTAGCTGCATGCTGATTGGTCAAATCCAGTCCAGTCGATCACGTGAATTTTGTTCCAGAAGTTTTCTCATGTAAAGGCTATAAATAGACTAGCATTGTATTTATCTTGGCCTTCTTAGCCTTCTTAGCCTTCTAGCCTTCTTCGCTTTCAAGCCTTTTTGCCTTGGCTTTCGCCATCACCTCCAGCTTCTTATCCTTGCTATTTTGGAATACAACCCTTCCTGTTCAACCGTGTTTTGATTTGTGTTACTTGTCCAGTGCTTTGTGTCAAGAATACTAAGCAATAAGATTTAGCCGGGAAATATCGT